AATCTGTACTATGAAGTAGTGAGGCCTCGAGCACACCAGGAGAAAACTAGAAATGCAATTCTCACTTGAGTTTTCTCTGCCAGCTCTTACCTATAGAGCCATCTGCTGCCCTTCACTGCTGGAGACCCAGTGTCCTTGCAGGAAGTACAATATAAACTAATATATTAGTTTAAGGTAGACATTTGGAGTTTTTTACGGAACTATGACTTTTTCAAACTCTCTGTCTGCAGCATTTGAAGGTCTCTTATTCATACTCTTCTGTGCTGACCTTTGGAGGCTGTCGAGATGACTTCATGATTGTAGTCAGTAAAATGAAAGAAAGAAGTTCTGGAAAAAATAGCACTGAAAAACTCCTCTTCACAATGGCAATTCCAAAGGTAATTACAAATGAAAAGCAAGTTTATTTCCAGCTGGCAGCATCAGGGCTGGGTGTTTTGTACAAGCCCTGGTACTTGTGGCTGCTGCACTAGCTGTATGTATTCAACAGATCCTTTGTAAGCTGGAACCTTTCAACAAGAGACTTATTCTACCTAACTCTTAAAAGACAGGGCTTCATTTTAAAAATGAACAATTCCATGAGAGAAAGCCATTTACAAAAGCCACGGGGTCAATAGATTCTAAAAATCAAAGTGCATTCTTACCTCTAATTGACCTACAGTTAATAATTTTCTCTTTTCCCCAGATTGTTGAAGCAACACTTCTGATTGCCAGCTACATTAACTATCGTTCGACTCCTTCACTGCTGTCTGCCACACAGCCCTCACGAAGCAAATCACCTGCTAAGCCTTGGGAGACTGAAAATCGGTGCTTTCTCACTCCTGTGCCCCGAAGCACAAAAGGGCCCACCCTGCTCTGAGGGCTTGTTCCACATGAGTTGATTTTGTTAGTTATATACCACAGATTAAGGCAGGCTCTGATTCTTTTACCATAATAACAGACAAAGTTCCTTAGAGGTAGAGGCAGTGTACTTTCTCTTAAAAAAAGTTGATTTTGGGGACTGTGCAGGAGTTTCCTTTCTGTGACACATTCCATCCAAAATACCATTCCTCAGGTCATTTGCCTGCACAGCGCTCCAGTTGTTACATCTGCACTCATTCTTCCATCTCCTACTGTACTGCCTTGCTTTACAAGTACATACATTTTCTTTGATCCCTCCCCTTTTCAGCTTTCAAAAGACATAAACTTTTGTGTTATTCCTGAGACATGAAAGAAAGACATTGCTAAGAAGGAAGAGGAATTAAACTCACAAGAATAATTCTGATGCAAGTCACGGGTTATTTCACACCTGAAATAGTGAGTATAGAATTAGAGTTCAGCAGTACTTAAGAGTATTTTCAACTTTAGACAAAGGTGGAAGCCTAGGGTCTTTTCATCTTCAGCTGGGACGTGGTGTCAGAGAATGCCCTGGCACCTACAGGACCGGTGCATTTTGGAAACTGACGCTGATCTATGCGATAGATGAACACAGCTTGCTGCTGCAGGGCAAGGCTCAGTGTGTCACATGCTCCACTCTCAGACAAGCACTTTCAAAGACTTTCTGATAACCACTGTTGTAGATGTGTTTGGAACTGCACATTATCTCAGAAAAAAGAAGACAAGGCAAGCAAATTTTGTACTTTTTCTGTCTTTCAGCAACTAGGACAGATCTTCCCAGACAAGCTCTGCCATTCTGACTTGACAGAAGCTGCTTCTTTTAAACTCCTGCTTCCTTCATGTACCATAAGCAAGGAGGAGGTAGTCAGCAACTGTGTACTCATGTTCTTCTGACTTTCCTAAAGAATGTTGGTAGGTTTGATTTTTTTTTTATCTGTTTCAAAGGGACTTCATTATGAAAAGGTTATTGAATTTTAAATAAATAAAAGAAAAATACTGATTCTTCATAAAAAATCTAAATCTACTTAGTTTAAGTTCAGCTATTTTGATAAGCATTCTAAAAAAGCTAAGGAAGAATAACTGCACTTTGAAAAGTACCACATCCAACTTTGTAATAATTATGCCTTCATGGGCAGCTTTCCCAAATTAAAACAGTGTGAATCCAACCACTAGACCAAAGTCAGTAATAGCAAACCAGTTATTTGCAAATAAACAAACCAACCATACCAGTGTTTTTACTCCCTAGTACCCACCACCAACCTTGACACATTCAACTAAATCATACGGGGAAGCTGATACATCAAGAAGATTTTTTTTCATGCTTATTATGGGTGCAAAGCCACAAACTAAAAGAGAAGAGCAGGGGACAGACAGAAGTTATTCTAAGCAATCCCTCATCAGCATCTTTGTAATATAAAACAAAAAAATCCAAACAACCAAACAAAACAAAACCAACCCAACCCCAAACCATCCTCTGGTGAGTTTTAGAAACAGTATGGCAGACCTAAGGCAGGCAGAGTCTATGAACAGTGACCTGATTTGCACATACTGTAATGTACCCACTTGTTATGAATTTAAAGACCATCCCTTGAAGGTACAAAGAGGGGTAGAAGCTTTCTGAGCCGTGAATAACTTCAAGAAGGTATTTAGTCTTGTGTTTTTCCCTTAGATACTTTCCAATCTCTGTATGTCCTGATAGTAGTTTGTATTTCCCCACTCTCTCACAATTATCTTAGTCCAGCTGTGTCAGTTAGAATACACAAAGTGTTACTCCTCCTCACTCTATCACTTGTGCCTAATAATTTCTCCTATATCTGAAGGTCTGTTTGACAGTTTGCTTCTGGTGTCCCACCAGTAATAAAGCTGCTTCAGAACAGGCTGAAGCCATCATCAGTGCTAGGGATGCTCAAGGCATAGAAGTCTCCAGTTCACAGGCTGTATTTCCTGATGTCCTCAGAAACTTGAGGAGACTTGTAGCAGGGCAAACAGGAAGCAGAGATGTTAAATAAACAGGAGCTCTCCTGAAACTCATTATTTTTTTCCACAATTGCACTTTAAATTGAGAAGCATGATACACAAAACTTTCTTTCTTCCTTATTTCTTAAAAATATTCACCAATACTTGAGTGTTTCAGGGACCACCCACTCTGACAGATGCAAATACCCCTCCTATTTATAGCTTATCTGTCTTCAAACAGCCCACCCTGTGTAGATACCTATTTGTATGATTCTTTGGTAGAGAAAATAATTTTTTATTTTAATCAATGCTTTTGGCAATGACTGTTAATGCAACATAGAATGAGATAACAAAAGCCTTTGTATTCCTAACTGCTGTGTGTAAGTAAAAGGCTGTCTGGAAGATACTGTGAGATTTCTGTTTGTTCTTAATAAAATGCAGTTTGTGAATTAATAACCATGAATTAAATGTGTATTATTCTCAGAATGAAATAAACTATTTTAAAAGCCAAAAATGTTCTTGATGTAAACAAAAATGAACATAGATTGTATTTGGTATCCAGGCACAAACGATAGCTGGTACAAACCTGCCCTAGACTGATTTCTTGTTTCTCTGCTGATCTTCTCTTAGCTTAAGTGGACGACTACACCATGGGCACAGGCTGTTCACTCCTTCAAAAGATTGCTAAAGCAATCTTTCAGACTTCCTGCTGTGACACAGCTTCTTGGTAATTTCTTCAGTGCACATTCTGAGCACTTCATGGGATTTTTACAGCATAGTCAACACTCCCAGCACACTCTTGAGCCCATGACTCCATCCACTCTGTTGGACATCTTTTCTCTTCTGACACAAAAGGCAGTGGCACATCCCCAAGCTGTTGGTTGCCTTTCACTTAGACAACCAGAATACTTCCTGTGACATGAGCTAACCTCTGTCTTTCAAACTTTGTAGCACTGTGGAAAAGAAATCCACAAATCCCTTATCTCTACCTTATTGCATGATGGCATGGTGCCAAGTGTTCATTTACAGATTATGTGGACAAGCATGGCACAGCATTGTATGCAAAATAAGCATGAATCCAGGCTCCTGCCAGCTTGTGGGTTTAGCTTTTGACACCTGAGTCACCTGATTTATATTACTAAGGAGTTGTGGAATATAGAGAGAAAAATACCAGTTAAGTGTTACAGTAACTTTTAGCTTATCAACAAAGAGAATTTCCCAACCTTGAGTTACTGCCAAGAGCACAGATAGATAAAACTTTATTCACATTGTCATTACCATCATTTTCAACAACACATGTGCCTCATATTCTCAGAGTAACTGATGTGGCCCTTTAAATGCCACATCTTTTCCATGTCCTGTGTCAACAGGCCCTGCCCCATTCAGCAATGGGTTCACATTTTCCCTGTGCTCCTTTTGATAGTTAAGCACTTACTGAAACCATTCTTGTTGCCTTTGACATCCTTCAACTGATTCATCGCCAGCTGGGCTTTAGTTTTTCTAACTACATCCTGGAGTGTTGCCACATTCCTCTCAAATTACCTGTCCCTAATTCCACCTTCTGTATGTTTCCTTTTTGTGTTCAAGCATTGCCAGGAGCAGCTTGCTCATCCATGCAGGCTTCCTGGTGTTTCTGCTTGACTTCCTGCTCGTTGGGATGGACTGTTCTTGATCTCAGAAGAAATGATCCTTGACTATCAATCATCTTTCTCAGATCACTCTTCCCTCTAGGGACCCCATCACATGGGACTCCTTCAAGCAGATCCCTGAAGAGGTCAGTCTTCAGATCTCTTATGTTTATTCCATTAAACATAACTGAATGCAACAGTTTAATTTTCTGGTTTTGTCCTTCTGAAATTCCCCTGTCATCAGGAAGTTACTATCTGAGCCCACACATCAGCTTTGGTATTTAGAGTGTTTTTCAAACAAAGGGTTAAATAAAAACCAAAGAATGCATACTTATGGCAGTCCAGTCAAGGTTATTTTATAATTTTAGCATAATTTTCAGATGCATGAAAAATTGGATGCATTTTCTTGTCTCCCTTTGCCCTATTTCCCCATAATTCTTTTCTGGAGAGGCAAGAAAAAACTCTTCTGTCTGAGCCTAAAAAGTTCTGCTCATGGGGCAGTTTTGCTTGCTTTTCCATGTGTACCTCTGAGTCCTGCTGAAAGTCTTTTTTTCAGCTATTTTATTTCACTTGATTGTGAGCTGTCTTCCTCTGCTCCAGGATCTCTTGACAACTTTTGTACACTTCTATCAAGCAGTCCAGTCGTGGCTTGCAGCTCTAGAAGTCAAACAACAGAGAATCACCTCTGAACTGAAACACCAATTAATTTAACCCAAACAGCGAACAGTGGTCAAAGTACAATGATTTTTCATCAGTTCTAACCTGGACCAGCTTAAAAACAGCAAGGAAGTGAAAGTTTAATGGTCCCACAGTCCCTATGATCCAATAACTTTTGAGCTCCCAAATCAGCATTACTGTGTAAAGTCCATCAAATGCCTCCTTGCAAGAGTTGCTTAAGAGAACAAAAGGTCAAATCAGAGCAGTAGGGCTCCTGGGCTGAGTGACACAAGGAATTGTATTTTTGAAGGCTGACATAACTTAGAGAAACCCAAAGAAGGAGACACAATAACGTTACTAATCATTGCTCCTTCAAAACTAAAATACTAACTTGCATGTTAAAATAATTACAGACAGGTAGTGAATTTCAAAATGGAAGAGTTCCATACCTCCTTTGCTGCTGGAGTCAACTCCACCAGTGCTAAGATATTTCCAGGAAAACAAAACTGTTCAGAGTTGAATGGTCAAAAAAAAAAAAAAAAGGTAAACAGTACAGATGCCAGGCAGACCCTTTGAACCTGGAAAGGAGCATATCTAACTAATCTAAATAATATCAGATACTTGAATGCAACTATCTGGAATTTAATAGTTGTTGATTTCCAGCAAATCTACTTTTTCCCTTATTTATATGTGAAATATCTAATTTATATTACTGTTACTAAAGATCTTTACAATTGTGGGACTGAGTTGGCAGCAAGTACAAATGGAATAGACTATTTATACTCCAAGTATTCAGCTGAAGTCTGACTGTATCTAGTCACAAACTGCAGGCAGATTATAAAACAGTCACCAGCAGCAGGTGAATTAAGGACAGAGAGGGCTCTACAGCTCAGCAGTCTAAGAAGTGAGGTACCTCTGCACTGCTTGCTACCCCTCAAGGATAAGGGCACTGTTGTGTTAGGCAGGAACACACACAAAGCAAATCCATTCCAAAAATGGGATTATAAACAGTCAGAACGCATTAGCAAGAGAAGAGAGAGGGGAGACGAGGTAACGGCAACACAAACAAGTTATGATACATTAAACAAATTTGTCACGGCTTTGTACCATGATCTTTGTCAGCAGGTCAGGCAGGGAAAGCCATTCCAATGCTAAGGAGGATTTATGAGGACTTTTGGTACACAGAGCTAAGACAAATATCAACGGCAGCACAGTGCCAGAGTTATGGTGGTAACCCGGAGCACAGGACTGCACAGAAAGCTCTCCAAGTCCTCAGCACCCTATGGGAGCCAAAGACTTTCAATTCATGCAAACTCCTGGCTGGGTCAGATTGACACAACTCCCTGCTGTGTGAATGGAGAGCAAATGAAAAAACCCATCCCTAGTATGTAGTTCCATGAGACTTCAAATGCCATCCACCCTAACAGCTCAGCCAGGGAAAGGCAACTGTCACCTTTATTCAAGCGCAATAAAAATATGCTGAGACAACTGATGCACAGAGACCACCATGTGGATTTCTCCACCGTTCAGTCAAACTCACCTGGAAGAGTGGCACAACCTCAGATACTCCCTGAGGATCTTCAGGGTCCTGGAGGAGGATACACAGGTAGTAGATAACTTTTTGCTACAAGACAAACAGACAAAAATCATTGGAGTATAAAAATGCTATCAAACTGTCTGGAGTTAACACAAGAATAGGATTTGTTTCCACTCATTGGGCTGAAGGCAAATCCTGCCAGGTCACAGTCAAGTCTACAAATTTTTATCAACAGCTTTCACTCAATAAAGAAATAATTTTGCCTGTTTTTTTCTGTTACGTTTTTAACCTGAAAAGAACACACGCATGCTGGAAGGGTAAGGTCTGCTTTTCTACAGGAGCTTTGCAGAAAACCCCAGCAATAGGGAAAACCATTGCCTGTGTTGTCGTAGCTTCTCATCTCCATCTTGATTACATATGGAGTTGGGCATCAGGATTTGTAAGAACAGCGTAACAGAAAGAACTAAACCCACTAGCTCAATGCCAGTGGCATTATCCAAGGGATAGACTTGGCTTTTTGTTTGGTTTGAGTTCTCCTTTAAAGAAGAGAGACGACAGAATAGGGAGAAAAATCTGAAATAAAGCTCCTGATGCCAGTAAAGCTACAGATAGTGCTGTGTTTAATTGCTCTGGTAAATCATTCTCATGAAAATACACTGGATGTGAGTGTGCCCAGACACAAGAAGACAGACTGTATGATTACCATATGGATGGCTTCATTGATAACCACATCCTTCACTTGACCCATCTCAATGAAGGTTGTGCTCTCTTTCCCTGAGGCATAGGATGAAGTCACCTGAATGCCGAGTGAGCCGATGACCAGCAGGGATTCCTGGTCAATCTTCACAAAGTGCAGGTATATGATCAGGCCAATCAGCGTGATGAAGATGGCAGCAGAGAGCACCATGCTGTTCTGTAACACAAGCCAAGAAAAGGCAGAGCTCTGGTCTTACAATTACTTTCACATAGCTTTAGAGAAAGTGAAGTTGCACAGTAAATTGCATATTAAAGCTACAAGTGCAATGCATTTTTACTTAGGTAGAGTCCTTTTATTCACCTGGCTGGCTGGTAGATATGTAGTGAGGTTTAAATCAGTCTTTGCAGTATGCACTAGAAGAACTGGGAACTGAAACTGAAAACTGCAAGAAAATTCTATTCCCTTCCAAGTTCAATGCAGAAATCTCAATCCAAACAAGCCAGTTGTATTAATGAGTGTATTATGCCAACTTCTAAAGATGATGTCATTGACAAAAGTGTGTTGTGAAATGTTTACAGGAAACAAGGGTGGATTCTCAGAGCAGAGGAACCCTCATTCAGGATAAACACTGCCCTGCTGGTTTTCTCTTTTTTAGACTGCCAGTCTAAACTTGTCCAAACCTCACCCTCTTTTTGCCTTAAACACCAATCCAAAGAAAACTTGCTTTATCCTTTTCTAAGAATCAATGTCTATTGCATGCTGCAATCCTGGGACTGCTGTTACATTTTAATACATAATTGATAACACTATAGTCCCCAGTAAGTCATCTGAAGACCTGGTAATAAATTTTAAGGGTCTACAACCTACAATCTGTTTCTGGGACATATTTTAGAGAACTCCAGGCCACCTGCCCAATAATGAGAGTTATAATTGATACTTCCTAAAGAACCAGAACTGCACAGCCCTACCATTCAAGCTGGGCCTGTACCACCATGTGAGCTAGAGAAGCATAGCTTCAGGAAGTACACAAGACTTCTCCAAAGGACACAGGACTTTGCTATCACAGGGGGGAAAAAGCCAGTCATGAAGTACAGACACTGAAATCCACAAAAAGAGAGAGGCACTTTCAGACCTGATTTCCTGGCAAAAGGAAGAGCTGCAGTCACTTGCATGTAGGCTGCAGGAGCGTGTGTAAAGGCAAGAAGGAGGGTGGTGGGTGGTAACCACTGACTGCAGTGTATGCTTTTGTAAAAGATGAAACAAACATGAACCATCTATTCCCGTCTGACTCCTGACAACTGACTTATAATGCAATCTCTATCTTCATTTCTTAGGAAAGATTACTGAAAAAAACGGATGTGCAACAGTCAAAGCATGGGTCACAGTGACCAGCTTCTTTGGTTAAGCTGCTGAATTCAGTCTGGACATAACTGGTCTGAGTCCAGTTTTTGATAAAACCAAAAGCATTAGTTTAGAAATCAGATTTTTAAATCTCTACTGCAAACATCTTTCTGCCTCAGCTGTGAAAATTGATGACATTCATGATGTAGTGCTCTCTGAATCACTCAGGAAAATTCCTTTTGGGGATTAAAAACCATTCACCTTCTTCAATTCCTCCTTAATTTCAGATTGTCACAACTCATCTCTCCAAGTGAGCACGTGTTATTCGGCCTCACAAGCATGTGCCAAGCATCACTCAGCACGCAGACATAAATCTACCCTATCTGTCAAGAGGCTACAAACCAACAGAGGCACCCGAGAAGACACGGGGGCAAGCAGGCGGCAGCCCCGCGCCTCCCGGCGGGCACGGCTCTCCCTTTGCCACCACACACCCATCAGCTCCGCGTCCCCGGGGCGCGGGGGATGCCCCGGAGCGGCGCTGAGCGCCTTCCCACGGGCTCCGGCCGCCCTCCATGCCTCGGGCGCCGCTAGCCAAGGCTGCCCAGCCCGCGGGACTCCCGTGCGCGCCCCCGGTGCGACAGCGGGACACGGGCTGCGGGGCGCAGCCGGCGCGGGCCCGAGCCGCGGAGGGGCCCGAGGGCGGCGGCGGGGCCGGTACCTCGCTGAGCGCGAAGAGCCCGTAGGCCGCCAGCCAGACGGCGGAGGTGGCGGCGCTGAGCGAGCGCAGCTGCAGGCGGGGGCCGCGCACCGCCAGCTCCCGGCAGGACGCGCTGTGCTGGCGGCGCCGCAGCGCGATCGGCACCCCGGAGGCCGAGAGAAAGCGCCGCTCCTCCGCCATGCCGGGCAGGCGGGGCCCGGCCCGGCCGGCCTCCCGCGGGAGGAGCCTGAGCCGACGGCAGGCTCTGCCGGCTCCCTCATGCCGGTGCTGCCAGCAGCTCTGGCCGCAGCGTGGTGCTGCCGCTGGGGTGTCTCGCTTGGTTGTACCTCGCCGGGCGTCTGTCCTTAATCCCGATGACATCAGCGCTTTCTGCGGTGCGCGCATGTTGATAATTCATTGCTTGCTTCCTCTGTTTATGGAGCGTGAGTTGTAAAGGGCACACGGTTCAGTGGTGCTGCACGTGTCTCCTGGCGTGATGAAGAGACGGAGGTTTTCATGGAATCACAGACTGTTAATGAACCTTAAAGATTATGTAGTTCTACACCACCTGCCTTGGAAAGGGACACCTGACACTAGACCAGCTTGCTCAAGGCCTTATCCAGCCCGGCTTTGAGCACTGCCAGGGTTGGGGTATTCACAACCTCCTTGGGCAACCTGGTCCAGTGTCTCACCACACGCAAAGGAAACATTTTCTAATATCTAACCTAAATTTCCCCTTTTCCCATTGTCTCATCACTACAATTCTTGATGAAAAGTCTCTCTCTGGCTTCCCAGAAGGCCCCCTTTAGATACTGGAAGGTTTCTATGAGTTCTCCATGGCCTCCTCTCCTCAAGGTTCTCTTTCCCCACTTTGTCCTTACCCTCTGCAACTCCATAAATGTATTTTCTCATCTGTACCATCCTTAGCTACAACCTCTTTTGATTTTTTTTTCCCCAAGGTTTAAAGCAGAGTTTTCTCGTCCCTTGCCATCTAAATACATGATAAATTGGAGACTTGGCTTTGCATACAGACACTTAATGAGTCTTGTATTGTGCTCTCTTTAATGCATTTCAGTTATTACTTCATGTGACTTACGTGGCAGTAATATAAAACTACAGCTCTGTGACTTCCAAACTGCCATCCTGATTTGTTTGGCCTTTCTATTTTTTCCCTTCTCCCACAGTTTTTGAGTGTTAGTGTTAATTGCAGGTGCCATCTTTCTGTGAGCAATTTACTTCATTCATGGTGTCTCCAGAGCTCTTGGGCGGATACTACATATATAAAAAACCTGTTAACTTGTTCTCACAGGGGCAGCAAAGGAATCTTAAGGGACATGAAAAAACAAGAGGCATCAGAGAATCAGTACCAAGGTCTTTGCTTTGCCTGGAGGAGTGGTTGATGGCTGCCATCCGTGGGAAGTCTTGTGCAGTACATCCAGGATCTCACTGTGACACAAGAGACCAGGTGGAGGGATGGGCTTTCCTCTTCCTCTGAAGAGGAAAAGTGAGCTGGCCTGGAGGGGAAAAAAGTAACAGCAGACAATGAACTGCAGAAATTGAGAAGAAAATACTGAAGTTCAAAAGAGGGTAAAATAAGTTTATCAGTGAAGTGAAAGTGGAAAAAACACAATAAATTGAAAACAGGCTTTTAAAAGAGGGGAAGAATGGTTTGAAATGGCAGAAGGACTGAAGTAGGTAAGCAGGAGTTATGAACAGCTGGTATGACAGCCTCGGAGGTGGGGACAGGAAGAAGGGGAAAGAAAAATGAGAGTAGGAGGTAGAAGAGGTAAAAGCACTGTGAACAGTCAGGTCAGTATACAGGACAGAAAAGAAACGTGAGCTTCTGGAGGAGTGTTAACAATAACTCACATTCACAACAAGACATGGGGAGTTACTGACGTACAGAGACAGGAGGAGAACCTGGAAATCTTAAGAGGAAAAAGCACAAGTATGCTTGGAGTTTTTTGTGTGTGTCACTGGCAAGTCCCTATTTAACCATACTTGTGCTCAGTCATGTCATGAACTGTCAGCCTGTCTTTAAAGCTTGTACGTAAAGACTGCACATTCGACAGTGTTGCCTTGTCACAGCAGGGAAAGGTGGGGGCTTTAATTTGTTTTTAACTAATTTGTTAATCATCCTTCGAACGTGCCTCGAATAGGAACAGCTGGAGACCTGAGAATCGTCTCGGGCCACGATGCTCCGAGATCAATATTCGAGGTGGGTGCTGGACAGGTGGTTCTTCAATGCTTTATCAAGGTCAGCCGGTGATGAGCGTCACCCGTTTTCCTTCTGCGAAGGCACGGGGCAGCGTTAGCTTTCCTGCACGGACGCTCTCGGAGCTCGGTGCGGCCAGCCACGGAGCCCGGCTGAGGTGTTGCTGCTCTCCGAGTCCCCGCCTGTGCCCCCGGCGGGGCGGGTGCGACAGCGGCTGCCCTCGGCCTGCGAGGGGTGCGGCCCCGCGGGGGCCCGGCAGCGCTGCCGCACCGGCGGCGGGCCGAGGCGTCCGCAGTGGAAAAACCCCGGNGCCGGCCCCTCGCCCGCCTGCTCCGCGCCCTGCCCGACGCCGCGCTCCAGCTGCGCCGGCGGGCGCACTCCGTGGCGCTGGTGGGAGCCCCGCTCTCCAGGGGCCAGGTGGGCATCGCGGGGGGCGCCGGGTGCCGCGGTCGCCCGGCTCCCCTCCCCGGCGGGGCTGGCGTACCTGGCTGCGGGCAGCGCTGTCTGACGCGTTCCTCCTCTCTTTGTCTCGCAGAAACGGCGGGGAGTGGACCACGGCCCCGCTACCCTGCGCGCCGCGGGGCTGGTGGAGCGGCTGGCCGGGCTCGGTGAGCACAGCGCGGCGGGCGGGGGTGGCGGGGCTGCCCGCATCGCCCCCGCCCCTCCCGGGGCAGCGTGACTCAGCCCTCGCTGCGGGCGGGGGCACGGCTCCTGCCGCCGGTGACTCACGGAGCGCACCGTGCCCCGGCGGTGCCCGCAGCCCTGCGGAGGTGCCGGGGGGGAGAGGCTGTCGCATTCCGCGCGGGAGCAGCCGCACCGGGCCCTGCGGGGGTCCCGGAACAAAGAGCGGCCGCTGGTCCCCGCGGAACGGCGGGACCGCCGGCACATGGAGCGTGTGCTGCTCCCGGGCTGGCTCCGGACAGCCGGGGAGGCGAGACGCTGCTTGAACCGCTGTGTGCGCCTGTGGCATCCAGACAAGGATCCTGTGATAACTGTGATCCTCGGGTTGTCACATACCCCATACAAAGGCTTTTGCTTTTTATTTATTTATTTTCCCTTCTGTGTTCGTTACCACCTTGTTCCTAAAAGATTCGTTTGCTTGCAGGTGATGAAATTCAGAATTTTCTGGAGAAGTCCTCAGTTTTATGTGTGAGGTCTGGTGCGAAGTCTTTGAAAACGCTTGCAAATACCACCCTGTGAACGGGCTGTTTCTGGTCTTTTTGTGCCAGCAAATCTATGTGCTTAACTGTGATTCAGCTTCTCACATCTATTACTTCTACAAGCTGAGACCTGCAGAAAGCTGTACCACAGTTATTAGAAACTGTGGATATGAGGATACGAGGGATAGAAACTTGTAAAGCTGAACTTTGTCTTGGTGAATCTTAATCTAAAGAGTGTTACTGAAAATGATGTGATGAGGATGGATTGCAGGGGTGGACCACAGAAAGAGCCAATATCTGCTCCCTGGGTGGTTAGTGTCAGTGGAGATTAGATGCATACTGAGATAATTGCCTAATAAACCCTCTAGCAATTTTATTCTGAATTGTAAGAGCTCTTCAAAACAGAAGCAATTGTTCTGTGCAGCCCTGTAGGCTTATTCTGCATATCTTATGATTCACAAGCTGAAAAGTCACAGTCAGCAGCCAAATGAGTAGATATTCTTTTTCTCGCTTGTTTTGTGCAAAATACAGACACTTGCCATCGTTGGCAATACTTGAATTCTGGTGAGTAAGAGCAATAATCTCAGCAAATGTGCAAGAGAGCATCTAAAAGAGCTTCTTTGTACTGGAATGGTTACTGAGCCTAAAGTTTATTTGAAACTAACGAATTGTTAGGTTTGAAAGGAGGCTGCTCCTCTAAATAAGAGTGTGGGCAGCAGATTACTTTGTATCAATTACAGAATTTTATACTGGAAGGCTTGGGGTTCTCTTTCAAGTGGTTCAGAGCTAATGTTTCAGCTTTGTAAGAATTCTTTGAGGAAAACCCTAAACCCACAAAACCCAACAAAATTAAAAACTAGAAGAAAAAGCTCTCTCATTTGCCTGACACAAGCTCACTTCAATAGGGGCTTGTAGAAGGTAGAAAGAAAGGGAAATTCGAGCCCTTTCTTGATTCCAGTATCAAAATGTTATGGAGATAGAAATGAAGCAAGCTAAACTAAATTAAAAAATACTTTCACTTCTTAGTTTCTTATAGGTTGTTTACTCATCAATCAGTTATGCACATGGAGATATTTTCTTGCTGGTCCCTTGCAGTTTTTAGAGGCTCTTCCTCCTGCAGTTGCAATTTCCTATTGCTGGCAGGTTCTTCCACTGGGGTTGGTTTGTTTTTTAAGGTAGTGCTGATGTCTATTGCTGCTTAAATCTCTGCAGCCCTTTTAAGAGCAGGTTCTGCTGTGGGGGCCCATCCTGCAGCGATGGCAGTCACCAGCAAGCACAGAGGAGTGGTTTGCAGTGCAAAGACAATCTGCTTGAGGGGAGGCTGCTGGCTGCAGGAGGAGGATGCTGCCATGTAGCCTTTTGTACTGTACACGTTTGTTGTTCATGGGAACTTAACAAATGACTGTTTTTATGTGTGGGTTGCTTATTTTTCTTCCCTGGAATGCCAGGATAGCTTTGGCTGCAGTACTATTGTCATAGTGCCATTACATGGAGTCCTGTGGTATGCTGAACTGGCAGTAAAACTTCAGCTGCTTTCTTTGTCTTTGTAACACTATTAATTTTCTGCTCATACTTTTAAGAAGGCCACAGTATGAATGGAGCCACAGTATGATTCTAATTCTTAATTTGGACATTCTAGTTATCTGTTTGATTATAGGAGTTTATAATTTTCATGCATTCTTGATTGTTTTCCAGGAACAGGCAAATTATACTGCAGCAGACCAGGTTTCTCCTTTAAAAATAAAGGATATTTGCCTAAGCCACTGGGCTTATTCATCTGTACTGGCTAGTTGTGAAGCATTTGTGACCACAGGGTCTGTGTATGTGGGTGCATATGGAAAGT